CCCTTCCGACCCTAGAAGCTATGAAACTATGAAATATCCAGTGCGGGGAATGTATTTTTGTTCCTGCACATGCGTCTTCCACGGGTTTGAGCCACTGCCATACATGTGTGTGCTCATCTGGACATGCCCATAATGTTCTGTCCTTTATGATAGCCCTAGTGCACTAGGAAATGCCTACTGAAGGGAAGGTGCATTTTGATTTATAAAATGTACAGCCAACCCCTTATTCTCTCCTGCCTTTCTTTTCCTGTTACCCAAGTGTGGGAACCATGGGGGATTTTTATGATAATTTCTTTTTGTCTTGATAAATGGAATCAAAGAATGTTATGACCCTGCAACAACACCATTTTTTGCCTTTATTCATTCAGGCATTCTCTCAAGCAGTATTATTTAAAAGTGCATTATTAGCACTTTAGCTAACACATGCTGACTAATGCATTTTTGTCCACTGCAGACAAAACAATGTATATACTCCACCATTTGCTACCCTGGTTGGGGCTGACCAACTTTAAAATCAACAACCTTACTATGTGTTAGAACCTATACTCTTCATCCACACTAGATTGCAATGTGATAGATAACACACCTTCCAAACCAAGTTTTGCTAAAGACAAAAACACTGTTATACGATGGTACTATAACACAGTTTGGTCTTGGCTAGGTAAAAACCATATTATGATAACTGTTTAAAGAAGGTGAACCCACGTGGTAATTCTGCAAAGCTGCATAGCCTTTAAGTTTGCTGAAATAGCCCCTTAATCACTGTTTCCCCAAACAGTGATTTGTTTTCTTTATCTCCCTACTTAAGGTAACATTTGTAAATACCATTGAAAACAAGACATCCTAACTAGAGCTGGATTATTATTCTCAGTAGTCTGAAATTGCATTGGTGAAAAGCACAACAGCAAACCATGTCGTAACTCACATCAAATTGATTTTTTTCTAGACATGGAATTCCACAAATTGTGGGAGCAGACAACGGACCTCAATTCAACTGTCTTGATTTTAAGAAGTTTGCAAGCACATATGGATTCCGTCACAACACTTCAAGTCCTAAATACCTGCAATCCAATGGTTCGGTGGAAAATGGAGTAGAAATAGTGAAGAAATTGTTGATAAAACCCACAGATTCACACACCAATGTTTACCTGTCACTCTTAAATTACAGGGCAACACCCATGAAACATGGATTGTCCTCAGCAGAAATGCTATTGAACAGGAAACTCAAAATCAGACTGCCAAATCTTGTGGATCACGCTCATCAGAATGAAAAGCAAAACATGAAAACATCAAATAAATTTTACGAACTCAAACAAAAATGATACTATGAGAGTGGTTCCGGATTGTTACCACAACTGCACAACAAAGATATGGTGCTTATTTCAGCTGGACGAATGTGGAAACAAAAAGCACTAGTTTCTCATCAAGTAGCTTCCAGAGCCTATGAAGTAATCACAATGGAAGGACAGGTATTAAGAAGAAACAGATGACACTTGCAGCTCGTAAACATAAGAAAAGAAGCAGCATCATGAGAGTCACCAAAGGAAACGGAGCTAACAACAAAGCATCAAGAAACGACAGAAAAGATTGAAAATTACTCAGAAATAGAGACATCTGAACAAGAAAACCAAACAAGAACTGAACCAATAAAGACTGAGAATGTAGAGAAACTGAGAAGATCACTTAGAGCTAAAAAGCCAACACAAAAACTAGAGACCTGGTTGAAATGTGCTTTAACAATGGATTGAACTAAACCTCCAATGTTCCATAGGGGTAGGTTTCATTTAAGGGGGAAGATGTGTGGATACCTTTAAGAGTGTCACGTGTAAATTAGTGCATTGGCCCTGGGATTGCAGAAAGGAAATGGAGGGAACAGCGGATCAGTAGGTTAAGAAGGTTCTCTGAATAAACAAGCTTTATCATTCTGTAAGTTTAACTCCTTGGTCTTTTGAGAAAAACACAGGATATTAACTTGAAACCTACCAAGTTTTCCTGGAGACCTTGCAAGATATTCTAGGGAAGTACGGCAAAATAAATTAGGAAAGCAAATACAATTTTACTTTCTGGTTGTTTACTTCTAAAGCCTCAGGCATAATGCACCATCTTCATTAGTTTTATAATTATTCATGCAAAGTTATTCTTCACTGATTTATTTAATGAGGCATGAATTCATCAGCAGAAAAGTTCAATGATTTTTTTATACTGTTACAATTGTGCCTACTATTCTGTCATTCTTCTATAGGAACATTTTTTCATTTTATTTTTTTCATTTTAATTTTTCAGACTCAGCTCTTAGGAGTTTTGTTGGCAGTCACTGGCAACTTCTTGATTAGTATCTCTTTGAATATACAGGTAAGAGATGCCCTCTAAGTATTTAGATGCATTTACCTTTTAACAAATGTTTAACTTCTAAATTTCAGGCTCCAAGTATAAGGCTGTGTTTATTTTTTTCTTTTTTTTTTTTTTTTTACATAGTCTCCTACCTTAAAGTACCTCAGCCTTCTAACTTTGATGCTGCAATGATTCTAAACCTTTTCTATACTGTGACCCAACATTACAACAAAATTAACTTATAAGATTTCTTCTTCTTCCAATCTGTCATAAGAAAAGGCAAGGCCCTTTGAACCTATTCCTGATCCCAATGGTGTTTGTGATCACCAGGCTGCAAAACCTTTAAATGTGAATTTTCTTTTCCACCTAAGAGAAATTTTACAATCTTTGCATTCTTCTATGCATGAAGAAGGGCGAGTGTGCCTGAAAGCTTGCAAATAACGATTTTTATTTGCAAATATCTTTTTGGTCTAATAAAAGATACTACCTCTACACAGAGGTCTGATTCCTTTTGCCTGTAGACCAATATGGCTACAACCTGTACCCCTGAAACCTTTAAGAGTGTATACTTCCTAAAGTGAAACCAAAACCTTGCCCTTTCTTTAGCCACATAAGTAAACCTGCATGCATATCTACGTTTGCAAGACTGATGCCTAAAGGAACATTGACCAACCTGTGTCTTTGTGCAATTAGAATAATAGAGTAAATAGCATAAATGATGAAAAACAAACTGAAGTCCTGACCTCTCAACTTTTGCTAATAGGTAAACAGGGAAATATTTTTATCTTGAAAATGTCCCTTTGAACTGATTTTTAGTAATCCTAACCAGATGCCTTTACAGGTAGAATCAGTCCTTGCACTATAGATGATTTTTAAAAAGTTCTAGAAAAATAATCTGGTGCCATTGTATTTCATACTTTTACATCCCCACCTATTTGGCTGTTTTTTTTCCAGAAGGAATGAGACTGCAAACTGGTCTCTGAATACAATCTGTTTTATGCTGTGCTACACGAAAGTCTGTGGACTTCACGAATTCACCTTTTTATTAAAATCAGGGAACTTCTTCACTATTTCGCGTCTATTTTCTTAAATAGGAAATGCTTATGAATGTTTCTAGATTGACCGTCCCAGAGACAAGTCCTCTGTTCTGCCCACAGATCTGTTGTAGATTTCTTGCCTCTGGCAGTCTATGACACTGCCAATGCTCTTTGAAGAAGATTGGGATCTCTTCTGAGGGTGGGAAGTGCAATGGGAGAACTTGCATTGGTTGCAGTGAGTGTTTCATCATCATCTTGCTGCTAGGGGAGTCAAAAGGATTTTTGGATGTTTCAAAAGGCAGTATACCAAGAGTACCTGCAAGCAGATAATCACTACCTTTCAAACATTAACTGTCTAGGCTTGATTCGACTTGAAGTGTCTTCCTATTTTCAAACCTACAAGAGATTTAGAAAAATGGATTGCCCCTCCATTACCCAGTGATTAACAATTGCAGCTGAAACTTCTACCGTCTTTTACAAATGGCATTTTCTTTAGTGACAAAACAGTGTTTTTATAAAATGGACATCTGATAAAGCTATTGACTGGCCTTGATTTTCTGAAGATGGTGCTGATGTAAGGGCCACGTTCCTGACAGCTCCTTAAGAGGACAAGGCTGAGGTTTGCAAACTGTGCAATTGCATGGGGCTCTGAAACCGATTAGCCACTGTTAGCATCTGAGAGACAGTCTTCCTGAAAGTTGGTAGGTTTAACAACTGACTTCCTTAAATCCCAATGTGTATTTTCCTCTTAATATTAATTGGAGATAAATGGTTCCGATGTATCTCTTCACTGTCCTTCCCATGAAGTACCTCATTCTCTTCCTTCTCCCCACCCCAAATAAAAAAGCAGTCAGGAAAGGCAGTATTTTGGCTGGATTCGACATATCTTTCAAACTGCTATATCTACAGAATACTTATGCTAAGAGCATGAGTAATTAAAATAGAGGAGGATACATATGATCTATGGGTGACTGAAGTTACATGATAAAATGTGGAAAGCAGGGCAGGGTGGCACTAACTGGCTCAGAGAGGCATAATAAACTTTTGTAGGCAACCATCTACTGTCAGGAGAGAAAACAATGGGATAAAACTGTGTCAGGAGATAAAAACTCTCTTCAGTCTCAAGATGCAGTGTGGATTTTTCTCTAAAGGCTTGCAAGCATTTTGGGTGAATCTTGAATGAGGTTTCATTTAGGGCTGGTCAGAAATTTTCTGTCAAGTTGGTTTTCAGTAGAATCCTAGGTTTTTGACTAGCCAGAGTTTTTTCCACAAAGAGTATCTGCATCACAAGGAAACTGGATTGTTGTTGGAAAACTGGATGTTAAAAAACCTAAATATTACCATTCTGAAATCCAGTCTTGTTCCTTCCTGGCTCCTGCTGTTCAGTTTCTTCATGCTTCCTTTTTCCATTAGGAGCTATACTTCCCATTTCACTTTATCTATTGCAACGCACCTCAGCTCTATGGCTGCCCTGTAATATGTCCTCTCAACAGGGGAGAATGTGGTGTACCATGGGAAATGTTCTCTGACCAATGATTTTGGCCCGCTAAACTCCGATGTGGCACTTCAAAATATTTTGCTTTTTGGCTCCCCTCCCTGCTAAATGGCATTTTCAAGCCAGTAGAAATGCAGTCATAGTCCCATGTGTTTCCAGTGCTCTTGGCACTGCCTCCCCTGCTGTTTAGAGAGGTTTGTGAGAAATTTGGCCTGGTACATGAGACAGTTGAGACTATGTTCTGCAGAGT